AGAGTGGCAGAGCTATAGTGATAGGACATTCAATTGTAAGGGGAATAGATGGGTGTTTCTACAGCCGCACATGAGAGTCCCTGATGGTATGTTGCCTCCCTGGTGCAAGGGTCAAGGATGTCTTGGAGGGACCGCAGGACATTCTGGAGGGGGAGGGGGAGCAGCCAGCTGTCATGCTGCATGTAGACAGCAATGATTTAAGTAAAAAATGGGATGAGATCCTCTAGCTGAATTTAGGGAGTTGGAAGTTAAAACTAAAAAGTAGGACCTCAAAATCTCATGATTGCTACCAGTGCCACGTGCTAGTCAGAGTAGAAATTGCAGGATAGCTAAGTTGAATACGTGGTTTGAGGGACGGTGCAAGAGGGAGGGATTCAAATTCCTGGGACATTGGAACTGGTTCTGGGAAAGATGGGACCAGTACAAACCAGACAGTCTGCACACGGACAGAACAGGAACCAATGTCCTATGGCAGGTGTTTGCTGGTGCTGTTGGGAAAAGTTTAAATTTATTTGGCAGGGCCATTGGAACTAATGTGGGAAGTTGGAGGGAAGAAAAGTGAGGACAGAAACAAAAGACAGTAAGAGGAAAAGTGAAAATGGAAGGCAGAGAAACCAAAGACAAAAATCAAAAAGGGCCACATTACCTCATAGAGTCATAGAGATGTATAACACAGAAACAGACCCTTCAGTCTATCTCGTCCATGTGACTAGATATCCTAAATTAATCTAGTCTAATTTGCCAGCATTTGGCCCATATTCTTCTAAACTCTTCCTATTCATATACTCATCCAGAAGCCTTTTAAATGTTGCAATTGTACCAGCCTCCACCACTTCCTCTGGCAGCTCAATCCATACATGCACCCCCCTCTGCACATAAAAGTTGCCCATTAGGTCCCTTTTAAATCTTTCCCCTGTTACCTTAAATCTATGCCGTCTAGTTTTGGACTCGCCTACCCTGGGGAAAACGCCTTGGCTCTTTATTCTATCCATGCCCCTCATGATTTTATAAACTGCTATAAGGTCACCCATCATCCTGCTACGCTCCAGGGAAACAGCCCCCATCTATGCAGCATCTTCCTATAGCTTAAACCCTCGAACCCTGGCAACATCCTTGTAAATCATTCTGAACCCTTCCAAGTTTAACAACCACTTTCCTGTAGCAGAGATAAATGACAAAAAAAATGAGCCAAGGCTCTGTAGCACAATGTGAAGAACATTTGCAATCAAATGGATGAATTAACTGCACAGACTGTTATTAATGGATATGATGTAATTGGCATCACTGAGACCTGGCTCCAGGGTGACTAACAATGGAAACTCAACATCTAGGGGTATTCAATTTTCAGGAAAGATAGATGGAAGGGAAAAAGAAGTGGGGTAGCATTGCTGGCTAAGAAGGAGATTAACATAATAGTAAGGAAGAAAGGATGTGAAATCCATCTGGGTGGAACTGCAGAACACTAAAGGGAACAAACGTTAGAGGGAGTTGTGTACAGACCACCGAACAGTAATTGTGATGCTGGGAATAGCATCAAATAGGAAATCAGAGATGCGTGCAGTGAGGGTACAGCAGATATTATGGGTGACTTCAATCTGCATATTGTTTGGAGTAACCAGACTGGAACTAATGCAATGGAGGGGCATTTCCTGGAATGTATGAGGAATGGTTTCTCAACCAATATATTGAGAAACCAACTAGAGAGCAGGCCATCCTGGACTGGGAATTGTGGAATGAGAGAGGATTAATTAGCAACTTTGTGGTGCGAGATCCTTTGGGGAAGAGTGACCATAATATGGTAGAGCTGTTCATTAAGATGGAGATTGTCACAGTTAAATCTGAGACTAGGGTCCTGAACTTAAAGAAAGCTAACTTTGGTAGTATGAGGCATGATTGGCGAAGATAAACTGACCAAGGATACTTAAGGTGTTGACAGTGAATAGGCAATAGCTGACATTTAAAGAACACATGGATGAATTTCAACAATTGTACATCCCTATCTGGCATAAGAGTAAAACAAGAAAGATATATTAACCACGGTGAACAAGGGAAATCAGGGATAGTGTTAAAACCAAAGAGGAGGCATATAGATTGGCCAGAAAAAGCAGCAAACCTGAGGACTAGGAGAAATTTAAAATTCAGCAGAGGTGATCAAAGGGTTTAATTTAGAAGGGGAAAACAGTATATGAGAGTAAGCTTGCAAAAAACATAAAACTGACTGCAAAAGCTTCTATAAATATGAGAAGAGAAAAAGACTGGTGAGGACAAATGTAGGTCCCTTACAGTTAGAATCTGGTGAATTCATAATGGACAACAAAGAGATGGCAGACCAATTGAAAAAATACTTTAGTCTGTCTTCCCGAAGGAAGACACAAATAACTTTCTGGAAATGCTAGGGGACAGAGGGTCAAGCATGAAGGAGGAACTGAAGGAAATATTTATTAGTCAGGAATTGGTACTGGAGAAATTGATAAGATTAAAACCTAATAAGTCCCCAGAGCCTGATGCTCTGTATCCAAGAGTACTTAAGGGAGTGGCACTAGAAATAGTGGATGCATTAGTGATTGTTTTCCAGCATTCTATAGACTCTGGAAGAGTTTCAATGGACTGCAGGGTAAGTAATGTAACCCACCTTTTTAAAATGGAGGAAGAGAGAAAATGGAGCATAATGGGCTGGTTAGCTTGACATTGACTCCAGCATTTTCCCCGCCACCAATTATTAAGGAGGTAACAACTGAGCATTCAGAAAATCAGTGACAGAATCAGCCCAAGTCAGCATGAATTCACAAAGGGAAATCATGTTTGACAAATTGGCTGGAAATTTTTGAGGATGTGACTAGTAGAGCAGACAAGAGTGAATCAGTGGCTGGTGTGTACCTGGACACGCAAAAGGCTTTTGACAAGGTCCCACACAAGAGGTTAGTAAGCAAAATTAAAGCTCATGGTGTATTGGAAATAATGTATTGATGTGGATAGAGAACTGGTTGGTAGACAGGAGACAGAGTTGGAATAAATGGGTCCTTTCCAGAATGGCAGTCAGTGATGTGTGGGGTTCCGCAGCTCAGCCCTTCACAATATACATTAACCATTTGTATGAAGGAATTGAATGCAATATTTCCAAATTTGCAGACAACACTAAGCTGGGTGGCAGCATGTGCTGTGAGGAGGGTGCTAAGAGGCTGTAAGGTGACTTGGACAGGCTAGCTGAGTGGGCAAATGCAATATAATATGATGAATATGTGAAGTTATCCACTCTGGTGGCAAAAACAGGATGGTAGATTATCTGAATGGTGGCAGTTTAAGAAAAGGTGAGATGCAACGAAACCTGGGTGTCATGGTGGTACAGTCGCAGCAGGCGATGAAGAAAGCTAATGGCATGCTGGCCTTCATAGGGACAGGATTTGAGTATTGGAGTAAGGATGCCGTGCTGCATTTATACAGGGCCTTGGTGAGGCTACACCTTGAGTATTGTGGGGAGTTTTGGTTTCTTAATCTGAGGAAGGACATTCTTGCTTTTGAGGGAATCCAGCAAAGGTTCACCAGGCTTGTGCTCACTGAAATTTGGAAACATACAAAATCCTGATAGGACTGACAGACTAGATGCAGGAAGAATGTTCCCAATTTTGGGGCAGTCTAGAACTAGGTGTCACAGGCCAAGAATATGAGGTAAACCATTCAGGACTGAGATGAAGAATTTCTTCACTCAGAGTTGTGAGCCCGTGGAATTCTCTCCCACAGAAAGCTGTTGGGGCTAGTTCATTAGCTATATTCAAGAGAGCCTGATGTGGTCCTTCTGGCTAAAGGGATCAAGGGGGTATGGAGAGAAAGTGGGAGCGGGATACTGAAATTGCATGATCAACCATGATCATAACTGAATGGTGGTGTAGGGTCAAAAGACCGAATGCCTACTTCTGCACCTATTTTCTATGGAAAAAATAGGAGTGGACAGATTCCAGCATCTATAGTAACTTGCTTCTATGTAATGTAGTTAGTTACCTGTGTATTTGTGTAAATCATGAAAGATTAGTGTAAGAGGTTAAGAGTGTATCTTCTATTGTAACAGGTTGTTATTCAGCAATGAGGAAATGATGTTTCACTTGTACAGAATCTCATTGAGGTGTGAAATACATGGGATATCAAGAGATGTGTGGTAGAAATCAGACAAGAATTATGACAAGGCCCATCTCTTCATTAGGATCACCTTGCTCTATCTATTATGCTCTTCACAAGCAGCACACAGATTCTCACTAGGCAGCAGCAAGATGTCAATTGTTAATTAACTTGGTAATGTCACAAATCATTCTCATTAACATTCCCAATCCCATTTTGCCAAACTTGCCAAACTCACCAAACAAGCTAGATATTGGAAAAACAGGACAAGAAACCTGAATGTGTACCTAGAGAATTCAGCTCACCACTTGCTCCTATTGGCACCAGTGTTGCCTATTGCCAAACTTCAGCCCAGGGAACAATCCATGGGTACCAGGCACATGCACTATTCATTCAGTGATTTGCATCCTGCATCTGCCACTCTATCATGACCATCTTGGCACTTTTCCAATACACTGGCAGTGCTTTCTAGACTTTGAGATCGGGGTGCACCAGCAACAAGCATTGAAAGGCTTTAGCAGAGACAAATACCCAGTTCACAGACTGGACTAGGCTGCATCTCAGAGCTGCTCACTTACACACTTAGTGGGCACCTGTGTGCTCATATCAGCACAGCAAGGCAAGCAGGGATGCTTAGTACAGTCATGGAAACTGGCTACTTGCCGATTGCTAAGCAGTCCTCAGTCTACAGGGCTTATATCATGCTGTAAGTGCACTAAATCACATATGCTCCATATACCATCAGCTTATGTGGCAAACACACTGCATATGCAACAGGCATGCAACCATGTCTCCGTCTTAGAGGAGTACTCTTCACCAAAGTACATGGAGGCATCAATCAGTAAGGGAGTCCTGGCATAGTGAGTAAAAGACAGCCTCCAATACCAGTCTTGAATGGAGTTATTTATTAGCACATGTATTCAACAAAAAAGTGAAAAATGTGTACCTTAGCCATACATACATGGCATCATTCACATTAACTTAGTCTTAGACTAAGTAAAAAACTTGAGTCCAACTTTCCTTTCCGCTGCCGCCTTCCAGCCATTGGCATAGCTCCACCAGAGTCCTGCTCCAGGCTTTCCAGCCTATGCTATGCCACCGCCAGCGTCCCAGTCTCGGCTGCCTCAGCGGCTTGCTGTCACTGCCGCTGCCTCACCGGCCGCTCTCGCTGGCCAACTCTTGATCCACCACCGTCACTCTGGTCCACATTCGATCCGCTTTCACTGCAGGACACAACCCGTGCATTCAGCTCCCGCCATATTGTTCCCGCTTGCAACCCGGTTCTTTTGGTAGGTAGTTAAGAAAGGGGTGGGGGGCTGCAATAGCATTGCTGCGGGGAAAGAAACAGAAAAGGGACGAAAGAAAGACAGCCACCCGCCGCCAGGGCCGTGGTTCAACGGGGCCATGGAGGCGGTCGTGCGCAGTCCATTGGCACCACAAGGGCTGTTTTGGGGGATCGTGCTGTCGTTGCGGGGGGGGTGGGCGGCATGTCTTGGCATCAGTCAGAGGTCCAGGCACATCGTATCTGTGGAAGACATAAAACATAAGCCATCCAGTCTGCTCTGCCATTTAATGAAATCATGGCTGCTCTGATAACTCCATTCCATTTTCCTGCATTTTCTCCATGACCCTGGATTCCCTTACACAAGAAAATAATAACTAAGAACAGGAGTAGGCAACTCAGCCCCTCGGGCCTGTTCCACCATTTAAGACAATCATGGCTGATCTCATCTTAACCTCAATTCCACTTTTCTGTCCACTGCCTATCACCCTTCTACCCATTACTAATGAAAAATCTGTTTATCTCTGCCTTAAATTTACTCATTTCCCAGCATCCACCACTGTGGTAGTGAATTGCACAGAATTATAACCCTTTAAGAGAAGTCACTTTTCTTCATCTTTCCTCCCCTTATCCTAATACTATGACCTCTCATTTTAGATTGCCCCACAAGAAACATCCTTTCTACATTTACTTTATCAATATCCTTTAGCATCTTGCATACCTCAATTAGATCTCCTCTCATTCATCTAATCTCAAGAGTAGAGCATTAAAAGTCTGCTCATCTCACCCTTGAATCTAGACCTCTGATAAATAATTTGTACAGATTTATTACCTACCAAGATGAAATTCCTTCTCAGCTCTAACTTAACTGTGTGACCCCTTATTCTGAAATTCCTTTTTGTCCTAGACTCTTCCACAAAGGGAAGGAACCTTTCTGCATCTAACCTGTCAAGTCATTTAACAATCTTGTAGGTTTCAATAAGGTCACTTCTCATTTTTCCACATTCCAGTCAGTATAGGCCCAATCGACTCAGCCTGTCCCCACAGACAGTCCTTCCATACCTGGTATCCGCCGAGTGAATCTTCTCTGGATTGCTTCTAATGCCAATATATTGATAAAGCATGGGTGGGTAATGTTGGATGGAGAGGGTGATCTGCAGTCAGGAGCATGCTGGCTTGAAGTGGGAGTGTCAGTGAATGACAGTACCAGGGGCTGGGTGGACAGCCTTACTGATTTTTTTTCCCCCTGATGCATCAGTAGTCATGTCTTCAAAATGTCCAGGAGTGCTTTTCTCAGGGAATGAGATATTTCTGCCCAGAGGTTGCAGCAAGGCTAATGAAACCTGCAAAAACAGAAGACAGCATGAAATAGGTGCACAGAGGCCAGTATCCTATCACCAAGTCACTCTTTATTTACTTATGCAAAGTACACTGACTGTGGCTAGTCAGTCCCCTGAACTGTAGAGATTCCAAATTCCCTGCTAATATTGGTCAGCCAGGGCCTCCTGATTGGCCCAGGTTAACAACCCCAGTTAAGGATCTGGTGGTCAACAAGATGCACCTGGTTCCAATCACTACATCCCTCCCCCACTAAGTTGGGGAATGTAGGCCTGGTCATTCTTTTGTAGCTTGTTCTGCGACTTTTTGCCCCAAGTCCGGTTCCTCAGATTCGGACTCTGATATGAGTGGCGTGTACCAGACCATAGCCCATCTCTACTGTCTGGAGCATCTCGGGAGAGTTTCCTCCTCTTCTTCCGGCAGTAATGGTATTGAAGCTTCATCCTTCTCAAATTCTGAGGTTTCCTTGACACTAGATGGATGGGGAGAACCCATGGTTTCTGAAGGCCTTCTGGCTGTTCTGAGGGGCCAAGTGTGTTTTGCTCCTGCCCAGTTTGCAAGGTAACAGCTTTCAGGTGATCCACATGTTTGTTCAGGACTGCCTCACCTACCCAAACTTTGTAAGTAATAGGACCTGACCTCGCATCAACCTTGCCTTGTACCCATACAGGGCCATTTCCACGGTTCTGGCACCAAACTTCGTCCCCTAAATTAAATTGTCTTTCTCGCTTAGAGGAGACATGTGGCTGTTATTGGCATTCCTGCTGCCATTTTACCTCCCAACCCCAGGTCTGGAAATATAAGGTTTAACCTGGTGTGGGGTCTTCACCCCATCAGCAACTCTGCTGGAGCTATCCCTGTTGTTGCGTGAGGTGTGGTCCTATATTCAAACAGAAACCAGGACAGTTTGGTATCAAGTGATGCTGTAGGCTGCTTCTTTAAGCTTGCCATCAATGTTTGGACCATTCTTTCTGCTAGACCATTGAATGACGGATGGTATGGAGCTGTCCTTATGTGCCAAATGCCATTTGACTTTAGGAAATACTCAAATTCTCTGATGGTAATTGACATACTATTGGCTGTGACCAGTCTTTCCAGAAGTCCATGCATCATGCAGCTTGCAGCTTCTCAATCATCATCCCTGAGTTTGCCGAACGAACTTTATGCACATCCAACCATTTTGAAAGGGCGTCCACAATGACCAGGAACATTGAGCCCCTGAAAGGACTGGCATAGTCGATATGCAACCGAGTCCATGGTTTGCCCAGCCATTCCCACGAATGTGCGGGCGGTTCTGGTGGCAACGTTTGACCTTGCTGGCACTCTGGGCACTGCCTGACCAATGCAGGTATGTCCGCATCCAACCCCAGCCACCAGACATGGCTTCTTGCTAGCATCTTCATCTTGGAAACCCCTGGATGACCCTGGTGAAGTTTAGCCAGTGTCTGGCAGTGACCTTTACTTGAGACAGTCACCCTTGCTCCTCATAGAAATATGCCGTCCTCTATGGTGATCTGGTCTTGCCGGGTCCAGAAATGTTTAAATCCTTGTTGCTATGACTGTTCTGTTTCCCCCATTGCTACCAGCTGTTTTAGTTTTGCTAGAACATGATCTTTTTGTGTCTACAGTCGGATATTGTCAGCGGTGACTGGAAGAGTGTCCAGGAAGTTTAAAACTAAAGCGGATTATTCCAGGGGAAGCACCACTGGTGGAGTATCTGCCAGTGGAAGGTGGCTCAGGGGTTCCACATTAGCCACTTGGCTTCCTGGACGGTATTCTAATTTTTACTTGTACGTGCTGAGAATAAGGGTCCAACGTTAAATTCTACTGGAAGCTATGGGTGGCAAGGCCTTGTCTTCTTTGAGTAACCCTAGCAGAAGTTTGTGATCTTTTACTATGACAAATTCCCATCCATAAAGGTACTGGTGGAACTTCCTCACACCAAAGATGACCGCCAAACCTTCCTTTTCTATTTGGGCATATTTGTGTTCGACATCAGCCAAAGTTGGGGAAGCATACGCAATTGGGTGTTCCTCTCCAGTGGGCCACCAGTGAGGCAACACTGTCCCAATAGCATACGGGGAGATATCACAATGTCAGCATCACTTCTCGCTTCATCATGGGCCAACACCTTGGATGACGATAGCTGCTTTATTACTTCGTAAAAGTTACTTCTTGGCTATGCACCCATTTCCAAGGCTTACATTTTTCAATTGCATGTGCAAGCGTGCCAAGATAGAGGCCAGGTTATGTTTGAATTTTCCGTAATAATTCACTAACCCAAGGAAAGACCTATCGTCCAGTATAGAATTGGGAGCTGGGTTCCTTTGATCGCCCTTACTTTATCTTTCAATGGGTGTCACCCAGTTTTGTCGACTCTGTAACCCAATTAGGTCACTTGGGGTACCTGGAACACACATTTTTCCCTTTTAAGGCCCACTGCAGAATTCTGCCAGAATCTATGGGCAGCACTGCCTTGTCTTCCTTCAGCAGGGGTTTGTGATCTGCTACTACGACAAATTCCCATCCATAAAAGTATTTATGGAATTTCTTCACACTAAAGATGACAGACAAACCTTCCTTTTCTATCTGGTCACATTAGCGTTTGGCACCAGCCAGTGTCTGGGCAGCACATGCGATTAGGCATTCCTCTCCGTTGGGCCACTGGTAAGCCAACACTACCTCGATACAATACCGGGAAGCATTGCATGCCAGCAGTACCTCTTGCTTCAGTTCATAGTGGGCCAACATCTTAGCTGATGATAGCTGCTTTTTCACGTCCCTCGAAGCTACTTCTTGGCTATGTGACCATTTCCAAGGCTGACCCTTCCTCAATAGCAGATGGAGGCCAGGTTACATATAATATAAATATAGAAAATAATTCGCTAACTCAAGGAAAGGCCTAAATTCGGTACAGACGTGAGAGCCAGGACTTCTTTGATCACTCTCAGGTTATCTTCCAATGAGTGTAACCTGGTTTTGTTAACTTTGTAACCCAAGTAGGTTATTTGGGGCACCTGGAACACATATTTTTCCCTTCTAAGGCATACACCTGCCTGGGAGAAACATTTAAGCACTATGGCCAAGTTCTCCAAGTACTCTTTATTGGTCTTCCCAACTATTAGCACGGGTTTCAGATAAATGGCAATCTGGGGTAGCCCTTGTAAAATGTTCTCAATGGTCCAGTGGAAAAGGGCGCAGGCCGGTGATACTCCAAATGGCAGTCTTGTATATTGGTATAAACCCTTATGGTTATTAATTGTGCATACTTCTGGAATTCCTATCCAGTTGCAATTATATGTACAAGTGGCTCACGTCCAGCTTTGTAAAGAAGCTCCCCCCCACCGCCAACTTTGTGTACAAATCCTCTATGCGTGAGATTGGGTATTTATCCAGCTGCGACAGGCGGCTTACTGCTGCTTAACATCTCCACAAAGGCGAACTGAGCCGTCAGGCTTCACAATTGGTATGACCGGTGCTGTCCATTCTGCAAACTGCGGGTTCCTTCAATCTCCAGCCTCCTGATTTCTGCCTCTACTTTTGTCCACAAGGCAAATGGCACTGAGCAGGCCTTGCAAAATCATGGAATTGCTTCCTGGTCAACATGTTAAGTGGCTTTGGCCCCTTTGATAGTCCCAAGTCCTTACTGAAAAACTTCTAGACATTCCACTAGGACTTCACTGACGCAGCCATTTTCTAATTGAAAAATGTTGAGCCAATCCAGGTGAATCTTCCTCAACAATTCTGCCCCAATAGACTTGGGCCTGACCCTCTCACTACAATCAGTGGTAACTACACCAACTGCTTCTCATAGGAGACCGGAACTAAAGTTGTAGCCTCAATCTGCAGTGGTTGCCCAGTGTATGTACTCAGTCTGACTGAGGTCTTGCGCAAACGTAAGGGTTGGAATCCCGAGCAAATCTTGTTAAAGATGGGTTCTGCAACCACAGATGCAACTGCGCCGCTATTGAGTTCCATGGGAACTGGGTGACCATTCAACCAAACATTAATTTTAATTGGTTCCAATTTGGCTGTCACTAAGCAATTTAATTGTTCCAACCTACATGTAGGGGGCTTTCCAGGGTATGCTCTATTCTGGGTACTGGCCTACGAATTTTCTTATTCATGTCAGGCCTTGTAGGATTCCTTTGCTGTCTCGAGTCTGCAGCTACAATGGCTTGCTGGCCCAGATCCTGAAAAACATTTTAGCCACTTAGCCGAGGCTCAGTTTTGTTGTGGGGTTCTGTTGTGGGTTGGCCTACAGCCCCTCTGCTCAGGATATCTCCTGCATAAAGCTCTGTGATTGCCTATACACAGGTGGTGTTCCCCAAGCTCATTCGCACGGGTGAGGGTGTCCACTTCCATTGAGATGCCCTGTAGCTCCCAGGCTCCACCTGCTGCATTTTCTAATGTAGTGCCTGTTTGAAGTCCAGTTGGGCTTCAGTTGGTAGGTGCTTCTACATGGTTATGTCATTAATACCACAGACCAAACAGTTTCTCAGCATCTCATTCAGTGTTAACCCAAAATCACATGCCTCTGCAACCCATCTTAACCTCGTCAAATATTCCGATACAGATACCCCTGATTCTCTAACAGCCAAATAAAACCAATAGTGTCTTAGAATTAGAGGAGTTTTGGGGTTATAATATTCCATAAACAACTCCATCAACATGTGGAAGGTTTTAGTGTCTGGTGCATCTGGGAAATTTAAGCACTTTATAACTGAAAATGCTGCAGGTCTACAAGCAGTCAGAAGGATTCCTCATTGCTCTTCATCTGCCTCAATGTCATTTGTCTGGAAAAAGTATCACATTCGTTCCACATACTAGGCATAGTCTTCAACAGCAGGATCAAACAAGTCAAGCTTACCCCAACTCCAAGATGACTGTTGCAAGTGAATGTTCTTCAGGCATGTACTGTTTTCTCCCATCGCTACTGAAATAACTGCACAGAGGCCGGTATCCCATCATGAAGTCATCCTTTATTTACTTGTGCACGGTACATTGGCTGTGGCTAGCTACCTCAGAGTCAGTCCCCTGAACTGAGGAGATCCTAAATCGCCTATTAGTATTGGTCAGCCAGGGATTCCTGATCGGCTGAAGTCAACAACTCCAATCAAGGATCTTGTACTCAACAAGATCCACCTGGTTCC